AAAAAAGAAAATTGTATGTTTATTTCCTTAATTTTGATGGGATTATGGAATTTTCATTTGGATATCAAATGTGAAAAATGTTAGCTGTCTATTGACTTTTTTTTTTTTTAATTCAGATGGAACAAATCCCATAAATTCTTGACACTCAACCATAATAAGTAACGAAAAAGAAAAACTTTTTAATATGTTTAATAACTACTTTGGGGAGGCCGAAAGCTCCACTTTGACTTTGGCACTTCATCTCTAATTAAGAACAGTTTGGGGCATAATTGGATGGCTATCATTGTTTTATTGCATGTGCAGAAGAATCTGCAAAAGTAAAACCACAGAAATGTATGGTAACAATCTTCTGAAAATTTACATTCCATGATGATGATGATAATTTTGATTACACCATTCCTTGCATTTACTTTCTTGATGTTATCCACCATGCTTTTCCATCATGGCACGCCATTACCAACCCCTTACTAAGGCATGAAGTCGATGGCTACTTCGTTTTTTCTAATTTCTATTTACAATCTCTATGTTTTCTTATCAGCTGAAGAAAGGCATAACTCAAGGTTAAGCTTACTAGGCAGTGCGTAGCCAGGGAGTGATAAACACACAGTTGCTTAAATTAGTACCTTTTTGGACCCGAAAAGTGAACCCGAGCTGCCAATGATGCGGAGATAAAGCCTACGAGGCACAACGGACACAGCTCATATTGAGCATGTGAGCCTTGGCCCAGCATTCCCACATGCAAGGCAATAAGCAATGCATTTAAAGAGTTTTGAGACAGGTTGTCTCGTGAAGAGCCGCATGCGGAAACCAAAGAAAAAGGTCAACGTGATATAAGGAAAGCTCGTGGCTTGTTGGTACATTCATAACAAGAAGACCTAGACCTTCCCTTTGTAACGTGAAGAACAGCTGTAAGCATGCTTGTCGACATTCTGTCTTCTTTGATGAATGAGAATACAAGAAAGAGCATTAAGACTCCAATATCTCAGCAGACTGCATGCTCACATTGTGACTGTCGAAGAGGGAAAAAGAAAGGAATGAAATAAATGGAGGCAAAGTACAGAGGAAATATGTTTTTCCTGGTTTGCTTAGAAGGGCACAAGAAATGAAGAAAATGAATGAACTTAACATCTTCTAACACTAACAACACCTAACAAAGCATTCATTCAACTCAACTTAATCATTTCATTGCAGACATAGTGTCATCCAATCATCTATTAGGGATGACCTTTTCTCCTTCGGTTCTGCACTTCAAAGCAGAAAATGGTTGTACTGGCTGAGTTTATCATCATTTTTTGCCCTTCATCAACGCGAGATTAATTGCACGTGTTACCAGGAAGGATCTGAGAAGGAAAACAACAAAAGAGAATTGCCTTAACTCATTAAGACAGATGACCAGCCAACCCAACTCTTTAGACTTCTATCCTTTCACTATCCCTATCCCTATCCCGGTCCATTTCTGTCACCAAGGACGCCAAGCCACTTATCTGCTTCTTATTTTTCTGCAGCATGTAACTCGATCTGCCAACAGGTCATATTTTCTGCTCTGGGGCCCTTACCAGATCCTTCAGATTGATAAAGCCACAGAAATTGTAACTAAAGTCACAACAGAAAATATCAACTCATTGAAACAATTTGCATACTATTATTAAAAAATGACCATGCAAGTGATACATATTCTTTCAGATTCTTGAAGGCATCAATAAGTTTCAACTGAAAGTGAGTGCTCCAAATCTCCTAATGTTAAAACATGATCACCGAGGGGCAATATCCTTTCTCCATGTTCATTCGCAATGCTAAGGTGGTTACAAGGATCTACTAAAATGCTTGTTTTAGTTGATCTGTATGAACTAGTATGTATGCGATCAAATGCAATCAACTGTTTCTCTGGAGTGCCCTGAAAAATTTTTGGTGCTCTAGAGAACAACAGGACAACATGGCTTCCATCCATATCTCCAACATTTGTTACAGAAATATGCACATAGAATCTCAATGAATCACATGATGTCACCTCATCAACGTGTACAGAATCAAGTACTTGTCTCTGGTGCAATATATTCTTACTTGAGGTGCCTGTAAAAGACTTTGATAAACTTAGTTTTCTTGGAGCGAACAAGAATTTGTAGGTGAAATCAGTATAGCTTAAGCCTTGTCCAAAGCCATAGACTCTTTTTCCAGTGTAAAACCGGTAGGTTCTCCCAGGATAACCACGAAAAGGATCAGCACGCATGTCCATATCATTCATTGGTACTCTCGTAAACGACTCAGGATACCAAGTCATCGGAAGTCTTCCACCTGTTTTAATATATCCAAATATCATATTAAATTCTAGAACCTTAGAACGCATAGGGGGGATTTTTTTAATGTTACAGAGAAACAAAAGCTTTCCAGTTCATGTCACAATTGGATAGATTAACCTTTTTGTAGCATTTGAAATGGCATCAATTATTAGTTTCTTTCATGAAGAGATAGCATACTCGTGTTTAGTTCTGGCAATAATTCTCCCTAGATGCTGGATTTACACTACCAAATGCCATAAGAAATGAACTTTATATTCCATGCAGCTTCTGGATGCCTGCTAATGAGCGGTAGTTTTATGCCTACTAACCTGGATTGTAATCACCAAAGATGACCTCTGCAAGTGCCTTTCCACCAGCTTCCCCAGGGTATCCAACCCAGAGAATGCTTGCAATCTTCAGGTCTCCTTCAGCAAATGAAACATCAAGGGGTCCACCACCAGTAAGAACAAGAATTATCGGTTTTTCACTTGCTGCGGCAATAGAAGATACCAGGGCCATCTGTTTACCAGGCAAGAGGAGACTAACTCGGTCATGATCTTCAGTTTCTTGGGACAAATCCAGCCCAGCAATTACAATCACAAAATCAGCTTTCTTGGCAGTAAGAATTGCTTCATTGAACCCAGCATCGGAATCACAAGGCACATCAGAGCAACCAGATGCATAAGATGCCTGCTTTACATAGCCTTGCAGTCCCTCAAAAAGGCTCTTTGGATCACATGGAACACCTGCCATACAAAGAATCTCAAATAATCATAGTATACAAATTAAATATTGTGTAAAGGTCTACCAAATGAAGAAACCCAGTAACAAAGTGAGGTTAGCAAAACTTCAGTCAGCAGTCTGCTTGATCCACATTCAATATGACTTGACGGAAATATTATGAGACAGACATGCTAACTCTTGGGTAGCTTGCCATATTGTTTGATTAACTGTATGAGTTACAAAAAAAAAAAGGACATTTATCAATGCTTTATTTAGTGCAGAATGAAATTTGTTATAATGCACCAATCACATAATTCCATTGAACATTAAAAAAAAAAGAAAGAAAAGAGCATGAAGCTGATATGGACCTTCAAGAGTTAAACATTATAGCATAACTCATACCTGTGTAGCCACCACCCATATTGCTTATGTTGTTAGCCATTGGACCAATAATAGCTAAGGAAGAAACAGCATTTCTGTTCAAAGGCAGGAACTTTTTCTTGTTCTTCAGAAGAACGATCCCCTGCCTTGCTGCTTCAAGTGCTAGCATCTTGTGCTGTGAGGTACAAATTTCTTGTTGTCCCAACTTTCCAAACTGCCCCTTTCTGGGGTCTCCATCAAACAGCCCAAGACGGAGTTGAACTGAGAAAAGATTTAGAAGAGCTCTATCAATGTCCTTTTCTTGCAACTTTCCTTGTTCAATTGTGGTCTGAGTATGTCGAACCAGATATGATCCACAGTTAATATCCATTCCTACAGAGAACCAACTTAATGTTAATCCTTGCCAAGGTCCAGTTCTTGCTAAAAGTCATTAACCAATTCAATTGAAAAAGATATAACTAGGAAAACTTAAAAACCTGCTTTAAGAACATCGGCAACAGCATCCTCAGGTATTCTTGTGTAATTCTGGTATTCTTGTACTGTTGCCACAGCATCACAATCTGAGGTGATGTATCTGACTTATGCCACAGAAGTATCACAGATAAGTCTATTAAACAATCAAGCTTGAACTTTCAAATTTTGCATATATCATTGTATAAGCAACTCCTAGAACATTTACCCTTTGAAGCCCCATTCATTTCGAGCTTTTTGTAAAAGATCTCCTCGTGCGCAAGCTGGCACCCCATTAATAGCATTGTAGGAACACATCAAGCAGCTTGCTTTACCTTGTTGGATACAACTACGAAATGGTGGCTCATATGTATCCTCCATATCTTGCTTTGTAACCTTTCAATTCAGAAAGACAAGTACTATTACCAAACTAAATCAAACTGGCTAATTTAATTCAAATAAAGGCTTATCACAACTAAATATTGGTTTAGAAACAATAAACATTCTTAAATTAAAGAAAAAAAAAGCCAAACCTAATTGAAATTGACTGACACAGTTTGCAATTGTCTTATCAAAACCAAATATCGCATTTAGACTTATGCTCATAGATAAAATCACCTAAATTTAATTGAAATGGGCTAATAGCCTAATACACACTGAAGAAGAGACACTGTAACCGTCAAATGATGCTCAGAAACAGGTCAAAAAGGACAACTTAAGCTAATCCTAAAACAAAATAAACCCAACTAAAATTACTCCTCAAGTACATGGTAAAAAAGAAGACTTTACCACTGCATTGAAGCTATATCTGCTGAACGTCTCCCACTTCTCCAAGTCATAAGCAATGAAATGCTTGCAACAAGCAGAATTCATAAGTCTATGACCTCTCTCGTCATCATCATCATGATGATTATCTCCTCTAAGTGCCCTCTTTCCTCTAAACCTATCTCTTAATTTTCCACTATCTCCCCAGGACAGACCCTGGAAACCCTTTACAAACTCAACAGCATAAGCTGAAACGACCATGGGATCTTCACCAGGAGTCTCCTGGCCTCTCCCCCATCTGGGGTCCCTGAAAATGTTAATATTAGGTGCCCAGAAAGTCAAACCAGCTTGTCCAACGTTATACATGGCTTTAGCCTCAACACCAATAGCCAAGCCAATCTTGAACCAAAGGGTCCTATTAAAAGAAGCAGACGTGACAAGAACCTGAGGGAAACTTGTTGCTGCTTTAACAATGCCATTAAAGGAAACTCCAGGGCCATTACTGGCGACCCCATGAAGAGACTCTGACCACCATTCATAAGGAGGAATTCCAAGTCTAGGAATTCCCGAGGCATTGTTGGACAACTGTTGGATCTTTTCTTGGAGAGTCAGAAGAGAAGTGAGAGATTGAGCTCTGTCTGTGATGGACAGGGAAGTGTTGCAGAATGGGTAGGAGTTAAAGTAGGGTGGTTCGCATGGGAATTGCGGGTTTGGGTTTGATGAGGAGATTGGAATGAGTAAAGTGAGAAGTTGTAAGAGGAAGAAGAGGGATCTATGTTGGAGAGACATGGGATGATGAAAGGGCGCTTCTGGCAGTCAGCTTGAATGTGTATTTTCTCTCTCTCTCTCTCTCTCTCTCTCTCTCTGTTTCTCTGAGATTGACAAGTGAGGATCGTAAGACTGGTAGCTGGATATAAGCAGCGAGCTTGACCATGATTAGGACTTAATTAATATCTTTGGGATGATTCGGAGAATATTGCATTGGATGATAAAGTTATATGATCATATAACAGAGGTTGGCAGCATGTGATTGTTTTAGGATCAGAAAAGGCTTTTAATATTTTGTGGATGCTTTGTTTGTTGGCAGTAAGACAGAAAACAAATATTTGGGGACAAAATTTGGTAATATTTGAATTTCTGCTGTGGTTAAATGTAGTTAACATTGTTATTTTTAATAAAAAAATATTTATAATAAAGTTGATAAATTAAAAAACTTTATAACAATATCCCAACCATTCATATGTGAGCCATTCTATTTCAAATGCTAACTCTTTTAATGGGTTTAGTTCCGCCTCCGCCTAGTATCGTTTGGTTCAACCTTTCCCTACTCTTTGGGCCTACCAAGCCCGTAATCTCATCGCACCTTTCAAACTCATAAAACTGCATGAAAGGCATGGGTGCTGAGAGTGAACAGACGTCATCCAATCTAATCTTTATAGAGGTTTGGGTCTTAGGTACTAAACCTAGCCCAAATAGATTTCAGTTTAGGTTTGGAAACACATGACGTTTGAACTATCTAACCATGACTGACGTTAGTGAATAAATTTTTATTTTTCAGTTAAACTAAAGGTGTGTTTGGTTGAACGAATAGAATAGTCATTTTTTTATTTTTATTTTTAAAATAAAATTGCATTTGATTCAATAAAATAGTTATTTTTTGAAATAATCATTACTAAAAGAAGCTTGACTAGTCATTCTAAGGACCCTCTTGGTAATAATTATTCTAAATCATTGAAAATAAGAAAAAAAGTTGATTAGATAAATATATCTTTATAGTATTAAAAAAATTAGCTTATAAAAAATAACTAAACTTTTTTTTTCTTGTCCTCACTCCTCTCTCTAAATCACGGAAGATATAAAATTTTTTACTTCGTTTTTTTAAAAAAAGGAAATGAAAATATTTAAATATTATTTAATAGATTACTATTATTTAACTATAATAAATATTATAAAGAATATTATTTAATATTATTGTTTGAATATAATAAATGTAATAAAGAATATTACCTAGTATTATTTAAATTTAATGAAGGATATATTTTGTTTTATAATATTAAATATTATTAAATTATAATAAAAATATGTTTGTATTTTGGTGAAAATATATTTAATTATAGTAAAAGTTATTTATTTAATTTTATAACTTAGAATATTTTTATCTTTTAATAGAATAAATTCTTTAATTTTAATAAAGAGTATTTTTTTCTCATCATATAATTTTTGTTTTTTAATTAAAAAATCTTTAAATTTTAATAAATGGTATTCTTATCATTTACCCATTATTCTTTAACTATTCTTAAAATTATTCTTGCTAACCAAACAATGGAATAAATAATAATAACAATTTTTATTCTATTCCATTCGCATAAACTAATCTACATAATAGTTATTTTTTTCCTATTCTATTCTTTTGAAATGACTATTTTATTCTCATTTTATTTCTTCTAGTTAACCAAGCATGCTATAAAGGTATTTAAACTTTATTAGTGAAATATTAAGCAATTTTTTAAAATATAAATATTATTAATATCATTACTAATTAAAATCGATCGAACCAATCAATTTTGACTATTTTCAATTATATAGATATAACTTGATCCGTTTCAACTTTTTTAGAATTTGATTAATTTAATTTTTAAAATCAAACTCACTAGGTGTTCATCCACACCTTTAAAAGCATATTACAAGCCTTGATTTACCGAGCCTCATTTTATATGTACACATTCAACATGATGAGAATATTCCTCCTTCACAAGTTTCTACAAAACAAACAAACAAAGCCTTTGGTCTAATAATGTTGACATATAAGACGAATTGGTGCATCGTCAGGCAGACAAGTCTTGTTTGTTTTCTATTAATCTTTAAATTATTTAACATAATCAAATCCTAAAAATATTTGTTGATATCCTTTAATTTGTCTAGTGGGTGCATTGGGCCATGCTTCTTGTTTGGATGCTTTGGGGTCTCTGCCTTTGCTAGAATCTTTCATAGATTATTTAACCTATTTGGGGAATCTTGGGCCACGCCACTCCACCACTTTGGTGCGCGTTTAAACAAAATTAGCATCCTAATAAATACTAAAGAAAGAAAGAGAACAGTCCGGTATTGAGTATGAGTATAATAGCACAAGGAAGCATAAGAACAAGATAAGTATACAGGAAAGTACTTTCCAGGGAGTTCTTGGACTTCAACTCTTTTCCTGCTGCCGGAAGGTGGCGAAATAGATTGAAAATTGTACTGGCAATAGACAGAGGAAAGCGGCTAAGCAATCCTCGAACACTCTGCAAAATAAATTAAGCCCAAAACCACCTCTCTGGCCCTGCTCAACCATGTTTGTAAGGCTTTGGGCCATTTGTATTTAGATACCTCGGCCTGTCGAACTCGTGTGTTTAGACAGTAAACCGATGTTCATGTCCTAACCCCACAAAAAGGGTTAACTGCGTTACCGAGAAAGCATCTCATTAATGGGGTTTTTTCTCAGCTATAATAATTTCTTTGGAAGCTCTGCTGCTTGCCTGCTACAAATAACTTCCATATGCTATAGAGTTGACAGACATTACACATAAACAACTTACATTGAGCTTTAAGGTGGAATTTCATTTCACCGCAGGTGCTGAATACTTCTACTTTCTAGTGCAACCTTTATGCTTTTCTGTTCTTTGAATATTCTGTATATAGACTTCCAGATAAACTTAACTTGAATATGACTCTCAGGACTATATATGCCTGACAGAAAATTTTGCAACCGAAAGCCATGCAGATCAATGTAGATTTAGTATAAATCTCCTCTCTTCTTTTCCTTCACAGCCTTTATTGTATTTTCTCATCATAAAAAGTCAGAATATTGCATGGGGATCAAACCTTGAGCTTGCTCTGCTATACATTGGGAGGTTCAAACGAGCCATGTGAAATATAAGACATCAAGAAAGATGAGTTTCCCCGCTTATAATAAAGCCTGGAGTTAATGTTGAGGCATCTGTCTGAGTTTGACAACAAGAAAGATGAATAACAAGTCGGAGGTTTAATTCTTACTCCATTAGAGCGACAGCAATTATTGAGATGTAATCGAGACTTGTCATTTAGCTGTTCATTATTAGGTGGGACACATCGTACCTTGCTTCACTTGGTGGAAGACAAGTTGTTTTTATGGCTTTATGAGGTGAATAATAAGTAGTCAACCTGTCTCTACCTTTTCCTTATCAAAGTGAATGAGAATTTCACTTCATTCCCTTTATCAGGCAGCTTTGACAAGGATCCATGATTAAAAGACTCAAAGATCTTGTTGCCTTCGCGTCGTCCTGTCAATATCTAATTTTCCATGATCCTTATGAACAAATCTTCAATTAATTCCTCTTGTTTTTCCACCTTCATTCACCAATGACGAAGCATTTGAATATATATCTAAATCATACAAATCTCCATTTGCATTAATTATACACGTTTTTGTTTTACTTCAACGCAATCCTTAATTTCTTTCAAGTTTTCTTGCAATTGAAGGCAATAAACACTTATCATATGCTTCAAAGCTTTGATGCTTTTGTACATTTTAAAAAACGACAAAGCTTAGCAAGATTGACAAATTTTACTGGGATCGATTGCTTCAATATTTCTCAATATATCATCTAGCACAACACTTGACTAGCAATGTAAATGATGATGCTTGTCGGTATAGTTGCAACTTTTTACACGTGAATGTAAACTAGAGGACATGGAAGTTTCAGCAAGAAGGATAAAATAAGATTCACAAATAGCTAAAGACTAACTAATTGGACACAATACAATCTGTAGAAAATGAGGATCATAATTTGCTGGCTATAACCCTAAGAAATTATCCACCACAAGAAATTGGTTGTTAGATACATTCTTCTATTTGGAGTAGTCTTTACTTCATTTTACTAGCTAGTGGAAGAAACAAAATGACATTGTAGAAACTATCAATAAATACAAAGTTTCAGTCTGGCATTTGGGAGACATAGTCAGGTGTTTAATCAAAATGTCACACTAAATTTGAACCCCATTTCTTGCAAAAATCCAAATCATTCAGATAAAAACAAATATACATATATAGACATAATTTTTTTAATTCCAAGGCTAGCTTCTAATGGCGCGTAGAATAATAAGCAATGGGCAAAGCTTTATATTAAATCTTCAGACTAAGAAAAGATTATAAGGATGGTGAAAAGAATAGTGCTAATAAATTTTGACTTTTTCTGTGGTACTTTTTGATACTCTAAAAAAAAAAAACCATTCCTTCCAATTGCCAAAGAACAACTCAATTTGACTTCTACAAAAAGCAGATGCTAGCCACAGCTCCATGCCCCTTTTCCTTCTTTCGCAATCATGACATTGCTTAATTCCTCAACGTCATTCCAGATTTTAGTTCTCTTCATCCTTGTAGGACACAGGCATGTTAGATTCTTGCGGGGTCTGAGAATTCCTCATCATTTTTGCTCCCCACTACAGCTAATTAACTGTACTGCAAACTATATATCAGCAAAAAAAAAAAACATGCAAGCAGCACAAGCTCAACATGAAAGAATGCTCGATGATAACCCATAATTGGGATTTATACCTAGGGTATAGCCTTTAAAAGAAACCATGACCAAGATGTAGAACCTGCCTTACTTCTAATGCAGAGACAGCTTCCACAAGCTTGTCTAGATTGTAACTCTATTTTTTTTTTTAGTGTTTCTGAAACCCGACTTTGCTCGCAAGCTAATTTGGCAAAACCACCGGTCAAAATTTTGTTGGCCTTCTAAGGTCTAAGTTTCTATATCATCAAGCAGGTGTAAATTTTATACTCTATTGGTAAATTATAGTTTATTCACCTCATCGAAGATAAACATTGTTTTATAAGAATTTTTAACATTGAGAATGATAGATTGTGATTCATTGGTAATGTATATAGAATGTAAACACCACGAATTTTATTAAATCCAATAAAAATTAAAAGTGTAATCGATACTCTCATGT